TGTTGGTGTATGGTGGTAGTTACTGTTGGTGGGTGGTGGTAGTGACTGTGGGTGGTGGTGTTACTGATTGTGTATCGTGGTAGTGTCTGTTGATGGATGGTGGTAGTTTCTTGGTGTATGGTGGTAGTTACTGTTGGTGGATGGTGGTAGTTATTGTTGCGGATGGTGGTAGTGAATGTTGGTGATGGTGGTACTAACTGGATGGTGGTAGTTACTGTTGGTGGATGGTGGTAGTTACTGTTGTGTATTGTGGTAGTTACTGTTGTGGGTGGTGGTAGTGACTGTTGGTGGGTGGTGGTAGTTACCGTTGGTGGGTGGTGGTAGTGACTGTTAGTGGGTGGTGGTAGTGACTGATTGTGTATCGTGATAGTGTCTGGTGGATGGTGGTACTAACTGTTGGTGGATGGTGTTACTGCTGGGATGGTGGTACTAACTGTTGGTGATGGTGGTGTTACTGTTGGTGGGTGGTAGTGACCCTGGTGGATGGTGGTAATTACTGTTGGTGGATGGTGGTAGTTACTGTTGGCGGATGGTGGTAGTTACTGTTCGTGGATGGTGGTAGTTACTGTTATGATGGTGGTAGTGACGTTGGTGGGTGGTAGTAGTGACTGTTGGTGAATGGTGGTAGTTACTGTTGGTGTATGGTAGGTACTGTTGGTGGATGGTAGTTACAGTTGGTGGATGGTGGTAGAGATTCTGGTGTACTGTATGGTGGTAGTGACTGTTGGAGGATGGTGGTGTTTCTGGGTGGATGGTGGTAGTTACTTTTGATTGAAGTGGTAGTGTCTGTTGGAGGATGGTGGTAGTTACTGTTGTGGGTGGTGGTAGTTACTGTTGATGGATGGTGGTACTAACTGTTGGTGGATGTTTGTAGTTACTGTTTGTGGGATGTGGTAGTGATTGTTGAGAAGGTGGTAGTTTCTGTTGGTGGATGGTGGTAGTTACTTTTGGTGGGATGTGGTGACTGTTGAGGATGGTGGTATTTACTGTTGGTGGATGGTGGTAGAAACTTTGTGGATGGTGACTGATTATGTATCGTGGTAGTGTCTGCTGGTGGATGGTGGTAGTTACTGTTGGTGTATGGTGGTAGTTACTGTTGGTGGGTGGTGGTAGTGACTGTTGGTGGGTGGTGGTAGTTACTGTTGGTGGATGCTGGTAGTGACTGTTGGTGGATGGCGGTAGTTACTGTTGGTGGATGGTGGTAGTGACGTTGGTGGATGGGGTAGTGACTGTTAGTGGAATGGTGGTAGTGACTTGGTGGTTGTGGGTAGTGACTATTGTGAATGGGTTGTAGTTACTGTTGGCGGATGGTGGTAGTGACTGTTGGTGTATGATGGTAGTGACTTTTAGTGTATGGTGGTAGTGTCTGTTGGTGGAAGGCGTAGTTACTGTTGGTGGAGATGGTAGTGTGACTGTTGGTGGATGGGGGTAGTGACTGTTAGTGAATGGTGGTAGTGACTTGGTGGTTGTGGGTAGTGACTATTGGTGAATGGTTGTAGTTACTGTTTGCGGATGGTGGTAGTGACTGTTGTGTATGATGGTAGTGACTCTTAGTGATGGTGGTAGTCTGTTGGTGGAAGGTGGTAGTTACTGCTGGTTTATGGTGGTAGTGACTGTTGGTGGATGGTGTACTAACTGTTGGTGGATGGTGGTAGTCACTGTTGGCGGATGGTGGTAGTGACTGTTGTGTATGATGGTAGTGACTCTTAGTGTATGGTGGTAGTGTCTGTTGGTGGAAGGTGGTAGTTACTGCTGGTTTATGGTGGTAGTGACTGTTGGTGGATGGTGGTACTAACTGTTGTGGATGTAGTCACTGTTGGTGTATGGTGGTAGTGACTGTTGGTGATAGTGGTAGTGACTGTTGGTGGATGGTGGTACTAACTGTTGGTGGATGTGTAATCACTGTTGGTGTATGGTGGTACTAATAGTTGCTGGATGGTGGTAGTCACTGTTGGTGTATGGTAGTGACTGTTGGTGATAGTGGTAGTGACTGTTGTGTATGGTGGTAGTGACTGTTGGTGGATGGGGTAGTGACTGTTGGTGAATGGTAGTGAATGTTGGTGGATGGTGGTCCTTACTGTTGTGGATGGTGTAGTTACTGTTGGTGGGTGGTGGTAGTTACTGCTGGATGGATGGTGGTACTAACTGTTGGTGGATGTTTGTAGTTACTGTTTGTGGGATGTGGTAGTGATTGTTGGGGAAGGTGGTAGTTTCTGTTGGTGATGGTGGTAGTTACTTTTGTGATGTGGTAGTGACTGTTGGAGGATGGTGGTATTTACTGTTGGTGGATGGTGGTAGAAACTTTGGTGGATGGTAGAAACTTTTGGTGGATGGTGGGAGTGACTGATTATGTATCGTGGTAGTGTCTGCTGGTGGATGGTGGTAGTTACTGTTGGTGTATGGTGGTAGATACTGTTGGTGGGTGGTGGTAGTGACTGTTGGTGGGTGGTGGTAGTGACTGATTGTATCGGTAGTGTCTGCTGATGGATGGTGGTAGTTTCTGTTGGTGTATGGTAGTTACTGTTGGTGGATGGTGGTAATTATTGTTGGCGGATGGTGGTAGTGAATGTTGTGGATGGTGGTACCTAACTGTTGGTGGATGGTGGTAGTTACTGTTGGTGGATGGTGGTAGTTACTGTTGGTGTATGGTGGTAGTTACTGTTGGTGGGTGGTAGTGACTGTTGGTGGGTGGTGGTAGTTACTGTTGGTGGGTGGTGGTAGTGACTGTTGGTGGGTGGTGGTAGTGATTGATTGTGTATCGTGATAGTGTCTGTTGGTGGATGGTGGTAGTGACTGTTGGTGTATGGTAGTGACTGTTGGTGGGTGGTGGTAGTGACTGATTGTGTATCGTGGTAGTGTCTGTTGGTGATGGTGGGTGACTGTTGGTGTATGGTGGTAGTGACTGTTGGTGGGTGGTGGTAGTGACTGATTGTGTATCGTGGTAGTGTCTGTTGGTGGATGGTGGTACTAACTGTTGGTGGGGTGGTAGTTACTGTTGGTGGGTGGTGGTAGTGACCTTGGTGAATGGTGGTAATTACTTGCTGGATGGTGGTAGATGTACGTTGATGGTGGTAGTTACTGTTGGTGATGGTGGTAGTGACTGTTGGTGTATGGTGGTAGTGACTGTTGGTGTATGGTGGTAGTTACTGGATGGTGGTACTAACTGTTGGTGGATGGTGGTAGTTGCTGTTGGTGGGTGGTAGTGACCTTGGTGGTAATTACTGTTGGTGGATGGTGGTAGTTACTGTTGGCGGATGGTGGTAGTTACTGTTCGTGGATGGTAGTTACTCATGATGGGATATGGTAGTGACTGGTGGTGAATGTTGGTAGTGACTGTTGGTGGATGGTGGTAGTTACCTTGGTGATGGTGATATGCTGTTGGTGGATGGTGGTAGTTACTGTTGGTGGATGGTGGTACTAACTGTTGGTAGACGGTGGTAGTTACTGTTGGTGGATGGTAGTGACTCTTGGTGGATGGTAGTTACTGTTAGTGGATGGTGGTAGTTACTGCTGGCGGATGCTGGTAGTTACTATTGGTGGATGGTGGTAGTTACTGTTGGCGGATGGTGGTAGTGACTGTTGGTGGGTGGTGGTAGTGACTGTTGGTGGATGGTGGTAGTGACTGTTGGTGTATGGTGGTAGTTACTGTTGGTGGATGGTGGTAGTTACAGTTGGTGGATGGTGGTAGTGACTCTTTGTGTACTGTATGGTGGTAGTTACTGTTGGTGGATGGTGGTAGTAACTGTTGGTGGATGGTGGTAGTGACTGTTGTGGATGGTGGTAGTTACTTGATGTATGGTGGTAGTGACTGTTGGCGAATGTTGGTAGTGACTGTTGGTGGATGGTGGTAGTTACTGTTGGTGGATGGTGGTACTAACTGTTGGTGGATGGTGGTAGTTACTGTTGGTGGGTGGTGGTAGTGACCTTGGTGGATGGGTGGTATTACTGTTGGTGGATGGTAGTTACTGTTGGCGGATGGTGGTAGTTACTGTTCGTGTATGGTGGTAGAGACTGTTGGTGGATGGTGGTACTAACTTTTGGTGGATTGTGGAAGTTTCTGTTACTGGATGGTGGTACTAACCGTTGGTGGATGGTGGTAGTGACTGTTGGAGGACGGTGGTAGTTACTGTTGGTGGATGGTGGTAGTTACTGTTGGCTGGTTGGTGGGACTGTTGGTGGATGGTGGTAGTTACTGTTGGTGGATGGTGGTAGCTACTGTTGGTGGATGGTGGTAGTTACTGTTGGTGGATGGTGGTAGTGACTGTTGGTGTTGTATGAGTGTTACACTAGGACGGAGCAGGTAGAGTGCAGAGAGAGAGAGAGAGAGAGAGAGAGAGAGAGAATTTGAGTGAGAGTTCAAATGTGACTGGACGTAGCATGGTGTGTTACGAAATATGAGATGTGTAAGAGCGTGTTAGAGAGCGCGAGGATGTGTAGGAGTGTTAGTGAGCTTGAGGATGTGTAGGAGTGTGTTAATGAGCGTGAGGAAGAGTGAATTAGGAAGCGTGAAGATGTATTAGTGTGTGATATGATTAAATCTTAACGTAGCAAAGGAACAATCACATTAGCTCCGGACCTCCCCTGTGTGTGATAGAAAGCGTGAGGTGTGGAAGGGAGTGCTTGAGTTTGTAAGAGTGTGCTAGAGAGCGTGAGGATGTTATAGTGTGTGTCAAGAAGCGTCAGGTGTGCAAGAGTGCACTAAGGAGAGTGAAGGTGTGTAATAATATGCGAGTAAACGTGTGTGTGTGTGTGTGTGTATGTGTGTGTGTGTGTGTGTATGTGTGTGTTAGAGAGCGATAGTTTGTGTAAGGGTGTGTACTAGAGGACGAAATAGTGTGTAAAAGTTTGTGAGGGAGCATACTTGTGTGTTAGGGTGTGCTAGAGAACGTGAGAGTGTGTGGGTGTGGGAGAGTGGGTAAGAGGGGGGTGAGTGTGCGCGAGACCCCCCCGAGTGCTGACACAAACTAGCGTTTTCTTCGTGGTGAGTCGGGGGGCGGCCCTCTCTATATTAGCTACCCCACACAACCTCCGCGCATTTGGCAGTGACCAGCGCTCCCGTCGTGTCCTGTATCAGCGCAGTAGCGGTGGCAGCAGCAGCAGCAGTCTAACACTTGCGTCCCCAGCGCTGTTGCCCCCTCACCCGCTCCTCATACACCAGATCGACTTCAAACAAAAGAGACTTCAGCGACCTCAACAGTCCATCAACACACACCCACTTCCTCCCCCTCCCTCGCTGATCATGATGCCTTGTGCAACCCACCTGTTGGTCGCCACCCTTGCCCTGGCACTCGCCCTGACCCACGCCCTCCCAGCTCCCGACTCCCACACACCCACAACTGACCAGGACGCGCGGCTTCAGAAGAGGGCTGTCAGTTCAGACCCCAGCGAGGAGGTAAAGTGCATTCACCTGTCATGTTCTCTCATACCTTTAATTAAACGTGTTCTTCTCCTCTTGTTAAAAGTACAGGTGTTCTTGGCGGGTCTTTCTAATTCTGAGTTAGTTTTACGTGTGTTAATTGGCCTCGTGACAGTGACAAGACTCACAACAAGTTTCCTGCGACCGACCACACGATGGGAATCACTGGTCGTGTGTCTGTCTGTGACTTGGTGTACTGTGACTTGTTAAGGGGAACCCTGGTCAGGATTTTCTTTAACTGACAAGTTTAGAATGTTTTCGCTAGGACATCAAGTGTAACATTATTGTTACCACCCAATGAGCGACTGTGGGATAATGAGACCCTTGCACGTAGGACTCGATTGTTCTTTATTCGATCAAAACCTGCAGAGTACAAATTACATATGTTACATATGATAATTAAGTCACTCGTACGTTCCTTCACTATTAACGACTACATATAATATATTTGAGTAGAGTGGGGTGTTAAACCATATAAAAACTTACGTGTTTCGGGTCTAATGTAGGACTTATTAGCTCCCTGACTTGTTAGTTCACTGGGCGACTAGAGACTATCTTCTGAACCCTGCAGGGAGCGAGTTAGTCTCGGAGACGAGAACCATCTGTTTCACATTTAACACCTCAGCAAAGTTCGTTGTCAACACTCCCTCTGTCTCTCTTTCCCTTCTCCCTTCTAGTTTATCCTACTGTGGAGGAAACAATTATATTATGGGAGGTCGTTCTTGCCTTTCTCAAGTATGAACACGTTGGTTGTATAAGTTATTCTTGTCTGTGTCAAACATTAGTTACATTAGGAGGATAAACTTTGTTTCTATTAATTAAAGACACAACATTATAATAATGCCTCTGGTAGTGCTTAATATGAGGCCAGTTATACGAAGATATAACGTAAAATTTTACCATCTATCTATTTGTCAAATATATCGTAAAATAATACTAATTTTCCAATTTTGTCAAAAAAATTAATTTTCATAGTTAATTGTTCTTTCGAATATGGAACAAATTATAGTTTGTTTTTATCTCTATCACGCATGATATAATACCATAAGGAAGAAGGAGGAGGACCTACGTGATGAACCATCTTTGTTCACGAGTTCCGAGAAAATTATCTAAAACCAAGGCGTTAAATTTTGTCTCACATAACAAAGTCTTCAAACAATGCAAAACCCAGAAAAATATTACACACAATACAAATTAATCAGCCAATGAACGAATATTATTTTATATTTTAAAAGAACATAAAGTAAGTATATATATATATATATATATATATATATATATATATATATATATATATATATATATATATATATATATATATATATATATATATATATATATATATATATATATATATATATATATGCTGATAACCACAAAGAAAGAAGAAAACACGAAGTTCCCAAGCGCTTTCGTATAATTCACATCTTCAGGGGTGAGTACAGACTAAGGAGAAGTACAAAACAAGGTGTATATATACAGAGGAGGGTGAGACCAGGTCCACAATGGTCAGGTATTAGGTAATGACCCTACTAATCTTTAAAAAGCACCGCAACGGTCGGTAGTCAGGTCAGAGGGTAAGGTGACCCAACCTTCTCACCTGATTACAAATCTTCTCAATTACATAATTGTCCAGTTTGTACATGCCATTACTCAAATTCATGTTGACTGCTTCGGTATGTTTAATGAGACTAGATTCTATAATGTTCCTACTGTCAATTGAATTACAAGGTAATATTGAGGAGGCATTATCCCAGTCAATGCAATGCTTGTTATCCCTCAAATGAACAAACAGAGCATTGGATTCCTGGCCTGTCCTAACACTATATTTATGTTGTTTAAGTCTAGTTGCAAGATCTTTACCTGTCTGGCCTAAGTAAAACATATTACATTTCTTGCAAGGAACTTTATAAATGCAACCAATTGTGTTGTTGAGGGAGTTCTTGATTAACATTTGTTTAACAGTGCATGAGTTTTTAAATGCCACATTGACGTTCCAGGTTTTTAGTTGTAAAGGAATTTGAGAGAAATTTTTGTGAAATGGTAATACTAAGAGATTCTTATGGTCATGGGTGGGCTTGGGATCAGTTCTATAAAAAGATTTCTTAGTAATGTTCAGGCATTTGTCTATGAAAGATCTAGGGTATTTAAGGTTTGAGCCAATATTATAGATATATTTATATTCCTCATCAATGAAATCCGGGCTGCAAATTCTCAAAGCACGTAAAAACATTGTTGAAAATACTGACTGTTTGACTCTATTATGGTGTGAATTACACGAAAGCGCTTGGGAACTTCGTGTTTTCTTCTTTCCTTGTGGTTATCAGCACATACCTGGATCACGCGCAACTACAGTGATTTACTCGCATATATATATATATATATATATATATATATATATATATATATATATATATATATATATATATATATATATATATATATATATATATATATATATATATATGTGTGTGTGTGTGTGTGTATGTGTGTGGTAATTTATTGTTCTTTTCTTTAAGGTTGTCACAAAATAAAACAAGTTATTTTCCTTCGGGATGATTGCATAGAAAAAATCAATCCTGGCAGGTGATTGGAGATTACTGATTCGCCTTTAATTTAATCGAGGGATTAATCCGGGGGTTCAATTTGTCGCTCCATCTCCATCATGTCCTCCTTTCCTCTTTCGTTTTCCGCTTTACACCTTTATTACTCTCTACCTCATAAGCGTAAATGGCTCTGTCTAACCGGAAATACATTGTGAGCTGAGGCAGACTCGAGTGAAGGATGATTTCCACTCATTCTCTCACTCTACCCATTAGAGATTAACAAGGGCTATTATTTATACCTTCAGTCGTATTAAAACAATTTGAAATACTATGCACAAATTGTATTATTTCTCAGCAATTAATCTTAGAAATATGTTGACCAGACATGGGGCCGATTACGATTGTTGATGATGATTTGATTAAAATGTTCAATTTTCATGTATTTTTTATTGATTACGATTAGGATTACGTCATCCAATTATCAATAGTGTGGATTATGTTTATACTTACAGCAATTTTTCTTGGTTAAATTATGATTATTAATACACTGGTGTTTATATACATTTAATCACGATTATTATTTCCCTGGATTACAGTTACATTCGTGGTTACAGTTACTACGAGAATTTAGGTAACAATTGATTATAATAAATCTACATAATAAGAGTCAACTAAAAAATTACAATTACAATTAGAAACTATAGAAGAAGTTAAATTTTGATTAAGATATGATAACAGATTTTTAAATTTGTTGGATTGTGATTTAGATTACGGTTACAGAGATATAAATGATTTTCATTGCAATTATGATTATGAATACACCGTAATCGTAAACAATTACAATCACAAAATTATGAATAACCAGCACCATGTCTGGTGTTAACTCGCACATATAACTCATTAACATTTTTTTTTATTAATTATCAGTTTGAGCCGTGTGTTGACAGTGACCTCATTACTTTTTTATAACACTCACGACTAGAATGAGTGGACCTCCGCAACCAAGGAGGCTTCCTTGCCTGGCTGAGACTGACAGGGAGGCTTCACTGCCCAGCTAGGGCTGTCCAGGGGGCTTCACTGCCCAGTTGGACTGTCAGGGAGGCTTCACTGCCCAGCTGGGGCTGTCCAGGGAGGTTTCATGCCCGATTGTAGCTACAGGGAGGCTTCTATACATGGCTGTAACAACCAGGAAGGTCGTCCTCGGGGGAACACATATTCTTTAGGCATTATTACTAGATAAAAACTCTGATGGTGAACATACGCCAATTATCGTCAACACCATTGTGGATTGTTGACATGATAACCACATAAAGAACGGGACATAGACGTGTCCTCATCAACACAAAGAGGCAGTGTTGCCTGACACGCGAGAGACAATTATATCAGGATACCTTCAAGGTGTGCAATGGTGTGGCTCAATCCAAGTACTCGAGAGAGCCAATCAGATCACCGTCTCCGCTGGGTAGGAGGTTATAACCTGGGCTGAGTCACTCTCTTCCACACTGAGTATGACGGCAGGTAAAGGATCAACATCAACGTTGTTGACACTGTCATAGGAGAGTCTGCTGATGACGAAAAACTACAATGAGAACTCGACATGATCGCAGTAAAACCGAAATATAATTTAAGTATGGGCCGAAAAATGGCAACGAGCTGCCAGCTCAATAACATAGACATACAGATAACTGAACATGAAACAAATTTAGACGCAATAATTAGTATACCTAAACTTACGGCAGCAATGTATTAGCGTTAGTAACAGGATTACAAATGTTACTTGATCTCTGTCTAGCGTTAGTGAGACCTCACCTGGATTATACTGCTTAGTTTTGGTTTCCGCAGTACACTATGGATGTACTGTAGAGTATCTTGAGAACATTTATAGAAAGATGATAAAACTAATCCCGGGATCAAGAATCATTCCTATAGAAGAAAAATTAAGAAAACAAAATTTGTATTCTCTTGAGAGACGTAGAGCGCGGAGCCATATGACTGAAGTGTACAAATGGAGGATGAGGTTAGATACAGGTAGTATAAATGACGTACTTAAGCTATTAAGTCAAGCCACATCTCGTAACAATGGGTTTAAATTAGAGATATATAGATTTAAAAGGAACTGTAAAGTCAATACGATCTTAGAGGAGTGGAATATATAACATAATAACAGCATCAACACAGTCACGCTGGGAAGTGATAGATGGGAGTTGTCTCGAGTGGCTCAAATGGCATAATAGTTTCTTTTATTCCTGAGTGTGATAGAGAGCCCGTGTAGACCAGCCAGTGGTGAGTGTGATGTACTATAATGGTTATGGGGTGTGTATCACAGGCTTTACCTACGTATTGCTGCACAGCGGTGATTGGTCAGCCAGGCTTTGGGTTTAACGATTCTCCAATTACCTGAACAAGAGGAAATTATTCGACAAGCTGAGC